GTGTGTGTGTGTGTGTGTGTGTGTGTGTGTGTGTGTGTGTGTGTGTGTGTGTGTGTGTATGTGTGTATGTATATAATTCAATTAGCTCTGGGGTTTTTTATGTTTTAACTTTTACAAATAGGTATCTCTGTCCAATAAAAACATTTACATGTTAAATTGGATAATTAAAAGTAAAGAGCAAATGAAAATAACAAGACAAATACCTAAACGTAAAACGCCTGTCAGCTTAGTATAAATGTGTGAAGGTCTCTCTATCAACTTATAATTTTAGTTCAGTTTGGTTTGACCAGATATGAACCTGTGTTTGACCTCAGCTCATTGTAAAACTGTAGACTTAGCAAAATAAAATCAAGTGAAGCAAATTCCACAGTTTCATCCCTGAAGGGGGTAAAGCAAAGTTACACAAAGACTTGAAACATGTCAACTGAAATGTTGCAACACTTTAGTAGCAAATTACGTTGCTCTGTGTAATCTTAAAGCATGAAGCTAAAGTATTCACACACATACACACACTTTTTTTTTTTGGCACTTATTCTCTGTGTCTTGACCTTTTCTCTCATTGGTTAGCATCTCAAATGATATTTTTGAGTTTCAGAAGAGAAGCAGATCAGATCCACTTGTGGACTGTGCAGCAGTGGCACATTTTAAAAGTAAACTGTAGCAGAACAGAGTTTCTCAGAAGTTCAGGAAGTACTGCTATAACTTCCAACTTTGATTATTACATTGAAGGCAAGAGCTCTGCGAGTAGAAAGTTCGAACTAAATGTTCACTTTCTCAGTATTGTAATGAATTTGTGTTGAAAAATATATCTGACATACAATTACAGTCTTGAGTCGTCTTTTGTGACTTGCTCATGCAGGAATAACAAGGTTAAGTTTACACTTTGGGCAAGTTGGAATTTGTTTGAAGCTGTAAATACCTTTGCAGATTTACAGAGGATAGCAATTTACATCAAATACTGTAATAGTCAGTTCTCTAATCTGCATAGATCCAGCTCACTCTTTACTCTCTTCATTATTATTTTAGAGGCCATTCCTGCCACTGAAAGCTCACTTTCATCTAAACACTGTTGACTCCATGAGAAAGATGCACATAAATGCACCTACTGGACTGTCTTCCAGATTACAGAATAGAAAATGTCATTACAATGCAAACTAAATTCATTTAGGTTCATTATAAGGACATTACTGAGGTTAAAATGTTATTATTTAAATTGATATCTGTAACCTACCGAGTTAAATCTAACCAACATTTTTCAGTCAGGTCATCTGGACAGTTTCTTTTTTTGTGCTGAAACGTTTCGCCTTCGATCCGGAAGGCTTCATCAGTCAAGGAAACACACAACAAAACTGATTCTTCTCCCAACAGCTTACTCCAAAGTGGAACAAACCAGTTTTGCTTGTGATAAGATGGTCTCTTTGGTATGCCCCTCCTCCAGTGCCAGCCCTCTTCCTTGTTGACAGTTGTTTCAGCACAAAAAAAGAAACTGTCCAGATGAAAAATGTTGGATTGTATACCTGGATTATTGAGCATGGACTTTGTTGAGTTAAATCTATGTTTCTACGATTACAAACCAAAAAGTGGGTTAAAAGTACACGCAAAACCCAGTTTTGAATATATTCTAATTTTACCTGTTCATTTATTATTGTGAAGAAATAAATGTGTTTCAATTATCTCTGTAGTATCAAATTTATTACCAATAACAAAAACACCTACTCTGTTTTATCAGAAATAATGAACAGAATGAATGAATGATGCTTTCCTAATACAATAACCCTAAAGTAAAAAAAAGTCACACACACATTATAAAAATAACACTTATAGTTGACTTCATGATTATATTTGTTATATATTAAATGCTTTTGAGGTTATTGAATAGCTTCTTTGTGTCTGGCAACATCTTATCCTAAAAATGTTGAAGTTGTTGTTACAAAACATCTTGGCTTTCCCCTGCTTGGCTCATCTTCAAAAGGGAAATCCCTCCCTGTGAGGCGGAGCTTGATTTGGTAATTAGTAGCTAACATGCATGCATGAGTATGTCTGCTAATTTCTGCAAGCTTTAGTTTCTGGGTCACAGCATCCAAAGCTACTAATGAACCCCAGGGGGTGGCAGCATTGTAGATGCATATTCGTCTTTTTTTTCTGTGATGAAGTTTTACAGTTATAAGAACTGTATTTTTTCCTGAATTTCAATTAACTTAAAACTTGGAAGGAGGTTGAATATTTTATATATAATTTTCTCATTAGTTTTTATTTACTGTATTTGTAATTATCAATAAACAACTAATGAAAACGTATAGTACTTCTGAGATTAAATATAAATTCATGACAAAAGTTGTTTGATTTTAATTGTTTAAACTCCTTTAAAACAACTAAAACCATCCTTTTTATCATGCATTTTCAGAGATCATAATGAATTAGTTTAATGTTACCTAATCCTCATTTGGCTGGTTTTAATTAAAGTACAGTATTGACACATTCTCATGGATCGCTGGATCATTTGAAAACAACACCACTGAAGTTAATGTTTCCAGATAACCCTGTGTTGCTTTTTCCAATGTTGCAAGTCTACTGTGGAAAAGTATTATCACTTTGGGAAAATTGTTATAAATATTTTAGGGTTCATCCTTTGTGAAAATGTATTTAAAAAAATTAAAGACTCACCCTTTGTAGAGAAAAATTTAGAAACTTGGCGAGAACCATTTTTTAACAAACAATAAATAAATAAAGGAGAAAAGGAGAAGAAAAAAAACATGAGGATCTTAAAGGCACAAATGATAATTTTGGCTAAATATAATTAAATATACAGCATCTTCACATACATAATTGTTAAATTAGCATCATTTGTTCCTTTAGACCAGGTGTTGGCAATATATGGCTCGAGGGCCACAAGTGGCCCCTGGACTATGTCCATCGGGCCCCCAATATCCTTCATTAAAAACCAACAACTTTTAAATACGTTGATGAAAACATGCATACTGAAACTTAAGGAACTTTAAATTGAACAACAGAATTAAGATAGACGATTTTTGTTGTTGTTGTCGTTGTTGTTCATGTCAAGTTTATAGTACTAGACCACTGTAAACCTTAGACATAAAAAAAAACAACTTTTTTTTCTATATTGCATAATTAGGGTAACAAATATACTGTCACAAAAGCCATTTTACAGAGAGTTTGTCATAAACTGCTAAAGAGTATTGGGGAGACTTGTTTTTTTTTTTTTTTTTTTTTAATCAAGCATGCTAACTATGCTACAGCAAGAAAAACTACTGAAAAGGTCTTCCAGATTATCTGCCTTAAAGAAATTTTTCTATGCAGCCCTCAATCTCATTAATTTCTTAATTTGGCCATCTGGAAAAAAAATTCTGCCCATTGCTTTAGACGAAGGTAAAAGAGTGATAAAGGAGATGTTAAAGACAGTAGATGAAGACTTTTCATGGAGACAACAGTACATTTAAACTTTGACATTGATAGATTTGGCTTAGGATAAAAAAAATATGTATCTATCAAAAAATTCCTTAAACAGACACAGTATCAATGTCATTATTTTCAAGCCTAATACCAAAATGTCCATCCATCCATAATCAATCCATTATCTTACGTTTGTTCTGAAGTTGGGTCGCGGGGGCAGCAGCCTGAGCAGGGAGGCTCAGACATCTCATTCCACACCCCTTCCAGCTCTTATGGGAGGATTCCAAGGCATTCCCAGGCCAACCGAGAGACATTGTCTCTCCAGCATGTCCTGGGTCTTCCCCGGGGTCTCCTCCCAGTCGAACATGCCCGAAGCATCTCCCTAGGGAGGCGCCCAGGAAGCATCCTTGCCAGATGCCCGAACCACCTCAACTGGCTCCTTTCGATGTGGAGGAGCAGCAGTTCTACTCAGAGTCTCTCAGATGACTACACTTTTCATCCTATATCTTAGTGAGAGTCCAGCTAC